CATCTACTTCATTTAATATGTATGCTACATGAAGGGACCTCACTCAAAGTAAGATGTAACAACCAGGGCCATCTCACCAGTGCCAATAAAAACGAGAAAGGCGTCAAGCAAGGCTGCATATTGGCCCCACTCTTATTCAATTTCTGTATCAGCTCCATAGTGGGCCATCTCCACAACACGAACTTTCACTCCCCAAAACTTGCTGGATCACACATCTCTATTCTGCTCTATGCAGATAATGCAGCAATACTTTCAAGAACACCTATTGGCCTTAAAAGAGTACTGAGAGCACTAACACAAAACTGCAAGGAAGACCATCTAGAACTCAATTATCAGAAACATGAAATCATGGCATTTGCCAAAAAGCCCAAGAGCCACTCCTGGAGCATAGATGGCCACAAGATTGAGCAGATCTCCTTTTTCAAATATCCTTCATTCTGCCAGCGGTAGGAAATCCCACAGGAAGTACGTTGTTGAAAATGCACAGAAGAGCTCAACTGCTATCCTTAAATGCCTTAAGACAAGAGGTGGCCACTATATATTTTTGGGCCCTTCTAGTGCTAGAGCTATGCCATCTTTGATACTGAATGGGGTTGCACTGCCCCAGACAGACCCTGTACGTAATTTGGGGGTCCTCCTGGACTCACGACTCCTGCTTGAAGAGAAGGTGGCAGTCGTGGCTAAGAGGGCCTTTGCACAGCTTCGTGTTGTGCACCAGTTGTGCCCATTCCTAGATCAGAGGGACATAATCACTGTCACTCATGCCCTGGTCACCTCCTGTTTGGGTTTCTGTAATGGGCTCTACATGGGGCTGCCCTTGAAGAGTATCTGGAAGCTTCAGTTGGTGCAGAATGCAGCAGCACAGACAGTTATGTGTGCCCCAGGGTGGTACATGTTACACCTCTGCTTCACGAGCTGCACTGGTTGCCAGTTTGCTTCCAGGTCCAATTCAAAGTGCTGGTTTTGACCTTTAAAGTCCTTCATGGCATGGGGCCGGGTTACCTGAGGGACCGCCTCTCCCCGATTACATCTGCCCATCCCATCAGGTCAGGCAGAGAAGCCATGCTGCGAGCCCCACCAGCCAGAGAATTATTTTTGGCAGCTCCCAGGAGGCGGGCCTTCTCTGCTGTGGCTCCCGCCTTGTGGAATCTTCTCCCCCCAGA